AAATTAAAAAAAAAAAAAAGCAGCTCTTGAATTAAAAATGTCATTACACTTTTCTCCTGCCAGTTCTATTCCCTTTCCTGTCTTGACATGGTACTAGAATGCTTTTGTTTTTCCTTATCTTTTGTTTTATCTTTTATTTTTTTCTATTTGAATTAAGAATGGTCCATTACACTAAAACTAGTTTTTAAAAAAAGAAGCCAAAAATGACTTGTGAACAAGTCATTTGCTGTTTATAATTAGAAATACTTTCTAATAATGATTCATTGGATTAACTCAACTTTCGTGGGGCAAACCTATTCTTAAAATGATTTATATGTTGTTCTGCAAGGCTACGGAAATAGAAATAACAAATTGGCGTAAGATCCTCCAGTGCTTAGGGGGTGGCACACAGACAGCTGTGACAGTGAGTCCCCAGGTTTGCCTTTCCTGTGTGGCTTGGGGGTCAGACTTGTGGGTTTAGACTCCCTAACTTCTTCACCTTTACATTTGAAATTAATATTGATGTTGATGGAATAATACATCACCGATGGGGTATCTGTGGAACCGTTGTGCTCTGACATTGTGTTCTAGTTTCTCCCTGTTACCTATTTTCAGCTCCTAAAAGGTCTGGAGTGTAGGCTGGGGTCTACTTCCCAGTTGGCCCCTGTAAGTCCATTACACATTCCGGACCCTGTTAAACTGGTGCATTTGCATTTCGCTGCCAGGAGGTTGTGCTATAAACAATGGGGTTAAGACACCAGCGTGAGCCAGGGGATGAAATTTTATTTTAAAATCTGAAATGCTGTGTAAGCATTTAAGGTAGGAATCGGTAATTGTTTCAACAACAGCTTCCATTAGATATGGTTTATTTGTAGTCCATCGTCTTTTCAAGGATCCAGGGGAGTGTTAACACACTGGAGCGGACTGCATATCATTTACATTTTTAAACTAGCATTAAGGGAAAGTGCCCGTAACTTCTTAAGAGTTCTAAATGTTGGGAGAAATTTTATGCCTCCATCCTCAGAGAAAATAGTTTTAATGTTTCATTTGAAAATAAGACAAGAAACCTTCCTTTGCTTTGATGAAGGATTGGAATAATTCTGAAACTGAGAAGTACCTTTTTAAAAAAAAGAAAAGTCTGGTTCTAAGCCTGTGAGCTCTCTTCTCCCCGCCCCTAATGAATTCCGTAAAATACAAACTTTTAAAAATCATCTGTCTCATTTGAGATTCAAGATCATCAAATTCTGTCTAAATATTTTGTTTTAACTTCTAAGCTCATTATGGTTTCTTTGTGTTAACTTGTATTAAAATCTGTCAGCTATGACTGGTCTCATAAGCACAGTCAGCGGACCAGAATAAGTTAATTATTTACTTGTGTCACTAGTGCTCTTCATCTAATGAAATGCACAGCTGTGTTAGATCTGCAGTTGGATGTGTAGCTTCCATTGTTCCGCGAGTCAGCAGAGGGTAGAAGCCCCAGTGATGGAGAGCCCTCAGTTCTTTCTGCTGTTCTGGCTTTCTGTGTCGATTTCATGGATCTTTTATCATTCACTTTCACACAAAACAAACAACACAGGGCTGTCTGCTATGGGAACCATCTTGGCATATAAAAGGGTTTTCAGAGCCTAAAGTAATTTTAAGTTAGCTAAGATTTAATTTTTGGCTTACAGGTGCCCTTGATTTGGATGTGGCCAAAGCAGTTCCTATAATGGGATGGAAAAAAAAAACCCCAAAGTTACTTACATGTATTTTTAAATGCAGGGTCAAAAAGGGGCTGATATAATTACTTCCCAAAAAGGAAAACCGGTACTACATTTTAATCGGGTTTCAAGCAAAGTTATTAGAGATTCAGATTTCAGGGGAAGGAGCATTGCTTTTGTTTTCATACCTAAGTTAAGTTGGCTTGATTAACCGTGTCAACTAAAACTAAAAATACCAAAATGCAAATCACCTCTCTCCTCACCCTCCCCCCCATTATAAGTATTCCCTGCTTCCTCCGGAGCTGCTCTACCTCCTGCCCCTCACTCCCACCTCCTCATGTTGCTGGGGGTGGGAGGGGGGGGGCAGTAGACTCCGGCTCCCCCCTGTGAACTGCTACTGAAGGGTGCTGAGGTCTTCCTTTGGTTTTGTTTTGAAGGGAGATAGCCAAACCCTCCACCTCCTCACCAGCCAAAGTGACATTCTCTCCAGAGCACATCCCAGGACCGGCCTCTGCAGGAACTGCCATTTTTAACATTTTGTTCGCTGCTACACAATGTTGTTGTCGGTGCACCTAGATTTACAATTTGATCTCTTTCAGAGTAGATTTCCCAGTAGCCCAAGTGTTTGTCAGATAATTTCATTGTGGACAAGATGGATTTTTGAAGGGAAGGAAGAAGGGGTCACACACTCTGCTTGATTTAAATTCTTT